TAACCGCGTCCCAAACTACCAAGCAAACTGCTAAAAGCTAAACTCACAGGGTGTGTCCACTCACGAGGGCGAAGCAGGGGATGCCACCACGCTAACAATCCTAAGATAAGGAGGGAGAACACCACAAGGCAGACCCCCCCACCAGGCAAAAACAAAAAGAAAAACCTCGCTAGAGGACAACGTATCCGAGGAGAACAGAGCCGGCCACTGTCAAAGGTGAAAACTAGCTACGCAGTACTCCGCGCCCCATCAGTATAATAACTACCACTTACCCCAGGGCAAACAAGGGCAGAAACCCCCCCCCCCTCCACACACTAGGGGTGGCTAAATGCCAAACAGCGAAAGGCCAACAGAGGTAAACCCAAGGTGACTTGTGGAAGGGAACCTCAAGCCCCAAGGGCGGTACTTACAGGGCACTCAGGGAAGGTGACCCTAAGCACATACAGCCCCAGTACCTGAGAAATTACTCCCAACTTGCACGCTGCAGTAAGAGCAGTACTGAAACCAATAACAGCACTGAGAGAAGACTGGAGTTGGAGCCACACACTATGAACGATCTCATCAGCCGAAGAACTGAAGTGTGGATCGCCGACGCGAGGGTCTGGGGCTCCCCATTCCCCCTCCCGGAGAGGGGGGGGGGGGGGGGGGAAACTGTGCAGACATGCGGCATGGCTCGTGTGACATCATGCCTGTTTGTTCATTTTTCTTTTGGGGAGTTCTGTCCACGATTGGCAATTTTCGTTGTTTTAACCAGAATGGGGGTTTGTTTTGTGGCGTTTACCTTTCTGGTTGCCTGTCCTGGTCAATGGCAGATATAGAATGCTCCAAATCACATGTGCATTTCTATGGGCCATTGCTCCTCGTTCCTTCCTCTGTGAAGGGGGCCAGGTTCTGGCTTGTATTCCCTGGTAGGCTTAGAACTGGACCCACATCGACTGATGCAAAATAGTTAGGGTATCCATATCAGCCTGGATAGCTCCGGGGAGCCGGAGGAGCTCCCTCCACAAAATTGGAAAATCTTTGTGCAAGTTTTAAAAACTTATGTTAAATTATTTTATGTCAAATCATATATGTATGTATTGCGCAGTCTAAGCATTAAAAATAACATCACTTTTTCGCTCATATGCACGCTATGGCCAAAAATGAATGCAAATTGAAATTAAATTGGCTCATGAAAGTGATGTACTATCCCGTTTCTGTTTGAGTCTTCCAGCTTACTTGGTAAGGTTAGAAGAGGAAAATTCAATTAACATTTTTCATGATGTTTTGAAACTTTAGGAGATTTTTCTGCTCTCCTAACCTACCAGACCCTTAACCCTTAAACTGCGCATGGCGTATATATACGCCCTGAGTAACATGTCCCACGGTGTGCATGGTATATATATATATATACGCCATAGGGTGCCAGGCCCGATTCAAATGGCCCGCGGCTACACGAGGTTCACATTAGCTTCCTCAGGGCTCTTGTAAACAGACGCCATTTTTTTTTAAAAATTGTGGGCAATATTCTCAGGTGTGAGAGGCACAGTACTGTTGGAGCAACCAAGGCTGGCGCACGCAGCATGAGCGAACAGTATTGTTGTTCAGCTTGTGACCACAGCATCGCCGAAAAATGTCAAAATATATAATTGTTATTATTTAGCGATAATATTACAGATGACCCATGACTGTGATATAAATAACCAGGGTTGTGATAATAGCAGGATTGTTGTAATAATTAGCGCTGTGGGAGGAGTGATGGAGGGAGACAGCATTGTTTACTGACTGTGTGGCCACCTGTTATTGTTTGCATTCACCATACCAGGTCAGTGGTTCTCTATGGTGAACACTGTTACGACCCTGGGTTCTCCAGTGGAAACCAGAGGTCAAAATTGAGCTATTAAACTTTCTGGTAGTACAGTTGAGTGCATCACGAGCGGCAATTGTTTGTATCTTCCCTGCCAGACGTAAGACTATTCTTGTTTCTCAAAGAGCATTTAAAAACTGAGCTGGGGGTTGATTATTAAATAATAACATAGGCACCAACTATGTTTACTAATACTTTAATCATTTGTAAGTAACAATACGTTGCATAGGGGAAGATCTTTAATGTGCTTAGCTGCACGATCAATTAGGCTCCTTCCGGCACCACGACGTGCGGGAGGCCTAGCTGGTCGCTAGGAGCGTTCTTCTCTGGCTGGCGTTCGTGGGGACGAGACCTACTCTGTGGCTGCACCCCTACTCTCCTCCCTTCTCCTCTTACTTATTTCCCTTACCTTAAGTTCCTGTACCATTAAGTTAAGTACTGTATGGTGTTTAAGTGTGCCCACTCTGGTAGTAACGATTGGTGAGACCTGGGGGTAGTATTTGCCAGTGTTTGGGTACCCCTAAGTGTTGTGTTTTGTATTAGGGTACCACGTGGTTTCATTACCCTAAGCTGCATCCAGCTTCAGTGCTTATCCAGTAGTACTTTACCCTAGCTTGTTCTCAGTGTAAACCTTGTATCCTGTCTATGTGGACCAAGGCCTTTTAACGTAAGATAGGGTGGTAAAGTTATTATTATTATTGTTATTGGTGTGAGTGTATATGGGGGGTTGTTAAGGGGTTAATAAATAAGTACATGAATTATAGGAGTATCCCTTCTTCCTGTGTGGGAGTGCATTGATCAACCCTTAGACTGACATATATGGTCTAGTAGCAAGGTATTATTACTGTGGATAGTTTATTTTGGGGGCCGGGCCTTTTAGCTCTCCCATATTTGATACTCTTGTCTTCTAACTACCCTTACCCCTTAATAGTACCAGTCCCCCATAGTAAGCCCACCACACAATTATTTGTAACAAACACAAATGTAGATACTTATATATAATGTGTGTATTAGTGTAATAACAGCAAAAGGATTATGCAGGGAGGAGCCATTTGGGTGACGGAGGTGACGTCGTCTGCACGATTTGTCTAGCTGTTTAGAGGGTGGCCACTATGCTCTTTGGGCGCACTACAAGCTTAGGTGTACAGTTACGGTGCATAAAACATGTAGATACTTATATATAATATGTGTATATAGGGTAATAACACTGCAAACAGTACTGTTGGGGGAGAAAGTTTAGTGCGTGTGACCTTGAATGAGTGAGGGAGCCGCCAGCCGCCATCTGTGGACAGCGACGACTCATAGTGCCTGAACTAACTATATCAGCTTAGCTGTACAGTTGTGGTGAACAAAATATATACATACTTATATATAACGTCTGTATATAGTGTAATAACACCACAAATGGTATTGTTGGGGAAGAAAGTTTAGTGCGTGTGTTGAGGGAGTGGCAGCGAGTGGCTGGCTGGTGTGTGGTGGTAACTCTTCGTTGCTTTTCGACTCTCAATACCAACTTAGTAGTTCATTATGGTGACCAAAACATGCAGATACTTATATATAACCTGTGTATAGAGTGTAATAGCAGCAAAACTATTTGTTTATTGTTTTATAAACATAATAATTGAATCACTAATATGCACATCATACTTTTGAGTATAGCGATTATTCACCACTTTTATTATATAAATATATTACAATACACACTATTGAATAATATTTCTGCAAAAAAACTAAGAAAAAATCAATCGGAGACATTGAAACAATTAGGTAATAATATCTTTGTGGCAACTCCCACCTGTCAGCGCGGGTGACGCTGACCCGGTCTGATGACCGCTCTGTCAACGCCCACTTTTTGCCAGACTTCCTCGGTCAATTGTGCCCAAAATATGTCACCTACGATTTTTTTTTATTTTTCCCGTGCTCAGGGGACACAAATTAATATGTTTAGAAGACGAAAAAAAAATTTTAATTTTTTTTTTCTTGCGCACAGGGGTGTAAATGTCCACAGGACCCCTGAGCAGTGTAAGGGTTAATGTATGGTTTGGGAAAAAAAAAATTATTTTCATTTTTTTTTATTTTCAAATTACATCCATTTTCGGCCATATGTCCAAACGGCCAAATTCAGACTTAATTTGTAAGAGGACAGGTTGCACCTGGATCAGTTCCCCCTCCTGCCACGGGGGTTACCTTGGTGAGATAGTTCCAACGAAGGGGAAGGGGGGAATAGTGCTATTGAGCAGGGAGCTAGTTGGATAAAGTGTTGCTTGTTAATTTTCATCTGAGGGAGTTCTTTTGCTATTTTGAGGATGTAGCTAGCAATTTTCAACAAGATAGAAGTCTGGTTTGATTCGCCTACCTTTCTGGGTGCCTTCCCTGGTCGTTGGCAAGTATGACATACTTTAAATGTAAAGTACTCATAGGCCATTGCTCCCTTGCACCTCTCTGAGGGAGCAAGGTTCTAGCTCTTGCCCCTGGTAGGCAACAAGAACTCTGACTGATAGATATAGTGCTATCCAAATAGGATAGCATTATATCAGTGGGATAGCTTCAGGGAGCCAATGGGGGCTCCCCACATAAAAAATCATGAAGCTTCATGCTCAAGACTGGCTTTGCTCTAGTACTGTTATTCGATTGCACTTGGGGACAAAGATAGTTTTTTCTTAGTCAAAGTAAACAGTCTCACATCTGGCAACCAGTGAAGCTTTAAGTCAAGTTTCACTCCGGTACACCAGCTTGTGGGCTTCAAAAATATGCAATAGTATTCACAAGCTAAATGGCAAACTAAATTCAAGCGCAGTTATGATTCCTTTGAAAATGACCTAAGATATGTATACCCTGCTGATGTTTCCCAATATCTATTAATTAAAATCTTCCTAAACATACTGTAACTTAACAAGCAGTTTAGATATCAAATATTAGTATTGCTGTACACTACAAATAACCTAATAAATAATATATAGATAGAGAATACTGTACATTTTCTATTATACAGTATATTTAAATATACTGTAATCTAATCTACCTTTTAATAAACTTTTTGAACACTCCTGAAACTAGAAGCATCTCCCTTTACTGAAATTTATGACTACAGTACTGTAGAAGTTCTGGAAATAACAAAACAAAAAAGTTGTATGAATAAAAATGAGTTTCTCACCGATAGAGTCTTGCGTTTATCTCGCTTCTTCAGTGTCAGATTACGAATCAGGAGGGCTCGTAACTGATCCATAAAACCTGCTTTCCCAATTTTGTCATCAAGAATGTCATGGTGATGATTATGTCCTGTTGTCCACACTGACTGTGATGTTCTATTCATTCCGACAGCCTCAAAACTCATTCTTATTTGAGAGATTAACTGAAAAGTATTGAACTTTTACTTTAGAGTTCTATCTTATATTATAATTCATATATCATACAATATACCTACCAGTACACTTTTAATATTCTTATTATGATTAAGCAGAGCAATTTAAATAAAATTTAAAATAAACTACTGTACCCAACATAGCATACACAGCCATTGAGGAGAAACCTTATTGAATAGGCAGATTTATGCAAGTATAACTTCCCTTCCCCAAAATGGAAGAATGAGAAAAAATTCATCATTGAATGTAATGAAATGCTTCTTTCTGGTGGGTGCCCTTGGTGGCTCTCTGAGCTACCCAGCCACCAGGCCAGGATTCATCAAGCAGTTCCATATCCATTTATGAGACCTGGACATCTTTCCATAATCTTGGTACAGATAGGTACATGGGGTACATACATAATCTTGGTACATGGGGCCTCGTAGCCTGGTGGATAGCGCGCAGGACTCGTAATTCTGTGGCGCGGGTTCGATTCCCGCACGAGGCAGAAACAAATGGGCAAAGTTTCTTTCACCCTGAATGCCCCTGTTACTTAGCAGTAAATAGGTACCTGGGAGTTAGTCAGCTGTCACGGGCTGCTTCCTGGGGGTGGAGGCCTGGTCGAGGACCGGGCCGCGGGGACACTAAAGCCCCGAAATCATCTCAAGATAACCTCAAGATAACAGTACATCTTCACTCTACCAACCCTGTTCCAACGAATTCCCAGATGGTCTGAACAAATTGAGTTCGGTACTAAATGTTCAGTGGAATGATTAAGTGAGAATTGTCCAAGCGGTCACTGAGGCCAAGCGTTGGGAGGTGGCTGTCATCAACAATGATTCACCAAAATGTAAACAGTTATACAGGGTTTTATTATGCTTAACTATTGTTTCCAGGTAGAAGTAGTTGAAGGATGATAAAATGGTGTCAGGGGAGTCAGGTGGGGTCATTGGTGAGGGTTGGTGTCAAGGGCCAAATGGTGTCTGTAGTGAAGGTTTAGTGTCAGGTGGTGGAAGTATTCTCATGTGAGGCAGGTGGAGTTAGTGGTGGAAGTTGTTGTCAGAAAAGACTGGTGGTGTCAGTGGTGGAAGTTGTAGTCAAGAGAGGCAGGTGGTGTCAGTGGTGCAAGTTGTCATGGGAGGCAGATGGTGTCAGTGATGGAAGATGTTGCCAGAAGAGGCAGGTGGTGTCAGCAGTGTAAGTTGTTGTCATTGGAGGCAGGTTGTGTCAGTGGTGCAAGTTGTCATGGGAGGCAGATGGTGTCAGTGATGGAAGATGTTGCCAGAAGAGGCAGGTGGTGTCAGTGGTGGAAGTTGTCATGGGAGGCAGGTGGTGTCAGGGATGGAAGATGTTGCCAGAAGAGGCAGGTGGTGTCAGCAGTGTAAGTTGTTGTCATTGGAGGCAGGTGGTGTCAGTGGTGGAAGTTGTCTGGGAAGGCAGGTTGTGTCAGTGGTGGAAGTGGTTGACAGGGAGGAAGCATGTGGTGCAAGTGGTAGTGGTAAAGGTGTTGTCATGGGATACAGATGGTGTCAGTGGTGGAAGTTGTTGTCAGGGGAAAGCATGTGATGTTAGTGGTGGAAGTTGTCAGGGGAAGCAGGTGATGGAAGTTGTTGTCAGGGGAGGCAGGTTGCATTAGTGGTGAGTGTAGGGGAAAACAGGTGGTGTCAGTAATTACAAGAATTATTACTTAACCTATAGTGGTGGAATTATAGGTTAGGTAATAATTGTAATTACGAAGCTATAAGATGGTTATCTTAAGATACTAACAAGGTTAGGTCAGGGGAGGTCGGATGGTGTTTCTCCACCACAATCTTTTTAAGGGTATCTATTATGTTAAGTATGTCACCTCGATGCACATATCGTAATAAGTCAGCAAATTGACTTATTAAATTTGCGAGAACGGGTTGCATATTCTGCAGGCAAATGAAGAATTCATAATAGACAGTGGTGTCAGTGGTGAGGAGATGTATTACAGGGGGTGTGGATGTAGTTAGTCTCTACCCATCAACATTCGTACTCATTAACCACTGCACATCGAAATTAATGACATTGAAATAGGGAGTGAGCTAGGGAACAGTGAACACAAAGAAATCAGATTTAGCACAGAATTAAAATTAGAATTTAGAGTTGTAGAAAAATTTTTGTTTTTTCATTAGCATTAGATTTGTAAAAAAATTCAGTTTTTTCATTAGAATTAGATTTGTAGAAAAAACACTGTTGATGTAATGAAACGCCATTTTCTGGGTGAGCCCCGGAGGCTCCCTGGAGCTTATCGGGCTAATGTATGTTATATTAGACCTGGACATTAGCTAAGGAGTTCAGACCTACCAGGGACCAGCGCCAGAACCTGTCCCCTTCAGAGAGGTTTCAGGGAGCAATGGCCCTGGAAAACCCCCTTGTGGTTGGGGTTTTCCTTATCTGCCATTGACCGGGGTTAGGTACCCAGAAAGGTAGGCATAACTAAACAAACCCCACATGGTAAAAAACTGAAACAAAAAACTGAACAGAGAGGTAGAAACTCCATACAATCCCAGGAAACAAGCAAACAAGCAAACATCACACTTTACTGCGCACCGATCATCCGCGCAGCCCTCCCCGTCACGAGAGGGGGAGGGGGGAGCCCCGGACCTCACCGTGCCAGCTGCCTAGCATCAGTTTGGAAGCTAAGCTACAGCCAACACGAATAAAACACCAACCGGTGGGAGGGAGGGTTGCCAGGGAGCCTCCGGGGCTCATTCAGAAAATGGCGTTTCATTACATTCAATGCTGGTTTTCTGTGGGGAGCCCCTATGGCTTCCTGGAGCTTCATACCCAAAGAGAAGGAAAAGAAAGGGCTGACCCGAGAGGCGGCCGCCACAAACTCCACAACGCGAAGCCGAGACAACAGGCTGCAACCTGCAACCCAAAACAACAAGAACGCACAGGAGCAGACGAGCGCATAAAGAACCAGGAACCTGTGCGACCCTCAAATCCTCGCGCCCGAAATGAGCCCTAGACATCACCAACACTGCAGCGAAAGTGGCAAACGTCCGAACAGCACGGGCGCAAGGATAGACCTCAGGCTGGAAGACCTAAAAACTCTGTGGACGACCTGGGAGACCCGAGCCCTGAAACAGGGAACGAGGGGAACCGGATCAACCCAAAGCGCATCACCCAGAAACGGTACGCAGGTAACGGCAAAAAAGCGCAACTGGACAACACAGGACGCACCCCCGGCCGAGCCAATCAAGCATCAATAACCTAAGGACCACCCTCTGGTAAGAAGCCGTCTCAACCGTCGTCAGAAGGATGGAGAAAGGCTGCAAACGTACAAACCTACCACCAGTACCAAAGAGCAGAAACCTGAACTGAAGGGGCTACCACAAACTGAGAGGAGATAAGAGGGCACCCTGTTTAAGGACCAGGACGGCTCAGGCGACGCATGAGCAGGCCGGAGGTGAAACAAAACACGAGAAAGCGTATGGAACGGGGCAAATGTGACGTCCACCCTGAATGCAACCCGGAGCGGCTCCGCCAGCACTGCACAAAACGAGGCGGCAGTAAGAAACATCAAATAACTGTAGTCCTGAAAACCCAAGAAAGGACAACCTAATGCGAAAGAGAAGATGACCTACAAAGAGCAAGAAAAAGATGCATAGAAACACCAGGAACATCATACTGTCGCCGAGACGAAGCTTGCAGGTGGGACACCATCAACAAAGCCACCTGATCACCACAGAGATGGTGATACCCGCATCAAAATACCAGACGCGAAGAGCCGAGGAGAAGGCCGAACCAGTCACGTACATGACCGGTCTGACCTGCCGAAAGAGCCGGAGGTGCGGGAAAACGCCCCGGATTCGAACACCTATCAAGCATCGTCTGAAAATAAAGCTGGGCCGGCTACCAAGGGACCATGAGGACTACTCTTTTGGGAATGGGCTCCAACCGAGCCAGAACCCGAAGCAACAGCAGGACCGGGAGAAGCGGAACAGGTACCCCCACCTTGACTAGTCCTGCCGAAAGCATCCACCGAGAACGCCTCACAGGCGGGTAAGGGTGCCACATAGAATGGGCGACGCCTAGACAACGCCGACTCGAAGACGTCCATGACCAGGAGTCCATATGTCCGGGAGAGCCAACGAAATGAGTCGGCGACAACTGGCCAATCCGCAAACAGAGGAATGAACCAAGACAGGCTGTCCGTCAGGACGTAGAACACACCCCGGACATGAACCTCACGGTTAGCCAAACCCCCGAGAATCCAGCAAACGAGCAACTCGAAGGGACCAACCACAAAGGTCAAACACCTAAGAGAAACCCTGTGGTTCCGGCAAAGAACCGCCAGAGAACAGTCCGAATGGAGCTGAATGGTAGAGCACCGAGTGATTGTCTACTATTCGGTAGATGGTCACTCGGATGGTAGAGCACCGAGTGACCCTCCGAAGCGCAAACCAGACAGCCACGAACTCCCGAACCGCGTTGTGAGCCCGACGGACGGACAGACCCCACCATCCCTGGCCGACCTGGTGAGCACTGGTCACAAAGCCCCAGCCGAGGGATGACCCGTCCGTGAACACATTGAGCGAAGGCTTGGGGAGGTGCCAAGGCACAGAACCCCAAAAACCCCAAAGAGGAAGCTGGTGACGCAGCACCAACACAAGATCCCCGGAGGAAAGAACCCAATAATTGAAAGAGAGGTGGAAGGGGAGTCTCCGAAGGAACCAAACAGACGCCGAAGCCAAACCCGACCCTGCGGGCAGACCAGCACGTCGAAGTTCAGACTCCCGCACAACTGCTCGAGCAACAGCAGAACAACCCGGGACCCCCCCATGAACAGCCAAAGGCGGGACCACAGCTGCAGCAACACTTCTGGAGGGAAGGACAAGGAGCGGCCCAAGAGCCCTAAACAGGATCCAGCCGGGTCTGAACCCGGGACAGAAACAGATGGGTCACCAGGAAACCAAACCCGACGATCTGGAAATAACCACACACCTGGCGAGCAGACAAGCAGACTGACTGGGAGCCCACA